TTATTGAAAAAAGGGTTCATATCTATCCGATTTGACAACGTTTAATACAAACTCGTTATTGGTTTTCTAGGAAAGCAGCTATCATAGATGATGACTGGGATCACAAACAAAAAAACATTCTCGTAAGACTTTCATTGATACTTAACTATAGTTTATGTTGATTTGTTAGATTGTTTTCGATTTTATCGAGTCTAAAGATCTTTTCATGCGAATATATCAAAAGAAACTCTGCAAACGTTTACTTAATGAATCAAGTGTATCGCATGAGTACGAAACATCGTTAATTTCAGCATTCAAAGTAAAACCCATTCGTCTTTCATCAACAAATACTCGATATTTCATTCGTAGGATAAATGTGGTCATGAATATACATCAAAATTTGAACAAATGATGAAAGATATTCGTATAAGTGAAGATTTAACTAAGGAGTATAAAGAGAATGTAGAGAAGAATTCGATCTACGATTCAGAGAAATTCTCTGTCATGGTATTTATGACAAATTACTGGCCATTATCTTCTTCACCAGATGTGATTTTACCAATCGAAGTAAGAGTTTCCATTATAAATATTATCCTTTTCCATTGCTTTTTATTTTAATTTAGTTAAAATCAATGTTTGATGATTTCACGAAATTTTATCTTGGAAAGTACAATGGTCGAAAGTTAATGTTACTTCATCAACATTCATATGGTGAACTTCGTATGAAAATTTCAGGAAAAGATTATCAATTACTAGTAGGATAATATCTGTATGAGATGACTAAAATCGAAAATATCATTCTCTTCGTCAAGGTTTCAACATATCAAATAATGATTTTATTGTTATTCAATGAAAAGCCAAATTGGACAGTCAAACAAATTCAAGATCAAACAAAAATTGAATCTGAATTGTTAACAGGCATTTTATCAATTTTATCAAACAAAAATATCTTAATCTCTGAGAATGGATTCGATTCGACTAGTGTAATTCGACTAACTGACAATTTTACCAGGTAAATATTTTCTCAAGTAAAAATAAGAAAAGAAATGTTTGTTTCAAGTGACAAGTTTCGAGTGAATTTGAATATTCCACTGAAATTGAATAAAGAGAAAAAGTGCAATGATCTATCCAGAACAATTGATGAAGAACGTCCAATGAAAATTCAAGCTGCTCTTGTTCGAATTATGAAGAAGGAAAAGATATTAAAATATTCATTATTAATTGAACAAATCAGAACACAATTTCAACCAGAAGTTTTGTCAATCAAAGTAAACTTAATAAAAAAAAACAAGATCATTTTTACGTTATGTCTCCTTTGTCTAGAAATGTATTGAAATTTTGATCGAAAAGGAATATTTTCAACGTGATCCAAACGACAAAAACACTTTGGTTTACTTACCTTGAAATAATTAACCGCAAGCGTTTTTTTTCTTCTATATTGTTAATTAAGATAAAATAAATAATACTTAAACTTGTACTGAAAAACGAATGTCAGTTATTACTTTCGAACTTTCCAATTTGATTTCGATACGTATCAGTGGCCAGTAAAACTAATATGATTTTGAAAACGAGGAAATTTATTCATAAAAAATATCGATTAGTTGAATTAAATTCAAAAAAGATTATCCCAACATCGTCCTCAGTTGATGGACGAATTTCGTTAAACGTATTATTTCAAGAATATTTACAAATAAAGAAAAAGATATGGTTTGGCTTGAAAAGAAGATATTTTTCTAAATGAAATAATCAACAACATGTTGATTTAATATTTATTGTCTTTAGAAGAATGTGATAAACGATGTCTACGATCATTTGAAGAGGAATAATGTCGTTTTGAACCCAATCGTCGTTTATGTGGTGATCGAGAACGATCATATCTTCGGCGACGATCATTGTTTGGACTTCGATGTCTAAAAAGAATCCAAGAATGAAAAGTAACGATAATCAATGAACAGAATACCTTGATGTTCTTCGACTATTCGATGATGAACGTGATCGTCGATATCCCGCATATGATTCATAACGATTCGATCTTCGCAACTGATTCAATTCGCTGTCTTCTCGATTTTCTGTCTAAAATTGTCCGTTGTATTTCACTATTCACATATGAATAACATTGGAATAACTCACACGTCGATTTCGATTCAAATTTTGTCCTGGTGTTGTTTTGGTGAATTCAACAACTAAAGTTCGACCACGATGTACACGACCATGTTCACTTCGTTGTGCAGTCTTCGTAAGAAAAGCAATTAACNACACGTCGATTTCGATTCAAATTTTGTCCTGGTGTTGTTTTGGTGAATTCAACAACTAAAGTTCGACCACGATGTACACGACCATGTTCACTTCGTTGTGCAGTCATCGTAAGAAAAGCAATTAACGGAGAGTAAAGAACAAGTATATTTCATACTTCAGCATGAACAATTGAATGATAAGAAACAAATCCGAATGCGACGTTATACGCTTAAAAAATGTCATAAGAATCTGCGAATAGATAGTCGAAAATGAATTTCTTTCTTACTTGGTCCACCAAATCTCACTTGACACCGTTCAACTTCTCCGTATCGCTCGAATATTTCCTTTAATTCATGTGATTCAGTATCAGGATGAACATTTCCTACATAGAGATTTCTTGATACATTATTCATCTCTTTCGCGTTTCTTTTATACGAATGAGAACAAAAGAATAAACGACAATTGAATAGTTACACTTCGCTGCGCAAGCGATTAGTGTGATACAATGTCTTTCTCTTTCTCGGTCTCTACCTTGGAGGGAGTAAGCGAATCAACCAAAAAATGCGCTGATACTCATTCACAATCCGACTTTTTTCCTCTTTTTGATATGTAGAGGTACAAGTTCGTTTTATATGGGCATTTTATATTAGAAAAATAAAATAGAATAGATCATTTGAGTGAAGTATTACTTTATCAAAAACGACGATTATTCTCTAGAAAAGAACTGATCATATGTCACAAAAGATTCACTTCGAAAAAATCAGCACATCTGTGCTTTATTACAGTCCTTTCTCCACACCATATCAAGTTGATTGTGTGTCCAACATATGAATTAAATGCGATGATAACATTAAAGTGCATTTGTGTTCTGATTAGACAAAGAGATACACCGAGCTCGTTCGAAATTCAATAAAAGCCAAGTAAAACCGGTTGCAAGAGTTATCTATAGGATCTTCAGTCCCACTTTGACACGCTTCTGTTACCTTTCTGTTGAAAGAAATGCTTGTTGGAATAATCAATAAATCCGTAGTCGAAATTGATAGATAGGAAAGATATTCAAATGATTTCTATTTCATACTTTTCATCTCAGTTATGCTATTATTCGTCGTGATCGCGCTATGTGTTACATTTGTGTATTACATTATGTTCGAATACATCCAGTAGTTTTTATTGTAACACAACCATCAAAAGACAGGCAGTACGGGATGGTTGTTGATATTTTTCTAATAAAAATTATCAAAATTCCAATTCAATTTAGAGATAAATACTTTTACCAGGTCACATTTTGATAATTGGAAAGAAGCAATAAAGCATTAGTGGTGAATATAGTGTCATAGAAGATAGATTTAATCTGTTTCATGGAATAATTATGCTAATGAAACATGATTTTGTGGAATGAGGTCTAATTTTATTGAACGTTTCATTTGAACTTGGTTGAGTTGCCATCTTCGACAATTCTCTACGACCGACTATTCTATGACAGTCTAATGACATCTTTTGAAAGGGAAATTGTAAAACAAAAATCAGATTCTCAACAAAAATTTCTCACTAAACTTCATTAAAATCGTGAAAAAATTACAATTTTTGTTTTTGGATTAATCTGTGCTGCATAGAATTCAGCTATAATATGTAGAAATCATCGTATTGACGATCGATTATATCACAAAAAACTAAACGAAAATAAAAGCAATTTAGAAGTATGAATCTATTAGAGATAAAATCATGTAACTGGAGTTTTCAAAAAGAAAACACGTGAATAACATTTCTATGACATGCACAACATCGTTCATATATAGTGTGAAGGCGTGTAATAACGTACTCTCATCCACATCTTAACCAACGATCAGACTGTTTGATGAATATTTTCAATATATAAATATGTTACTTTGTACAAATGACAATAGAAATGAGGACGACAATTGTATAGTTTCACTTCATTGAGCAAATAGTAGAAAAATGCAATAATATTCAAATAATCTAATTCGTTTTCTTATATCGATACATATGCGTTTTCTTTTATTCTAGATGATTTTTTACGTTCGATCAATAGAATGGTTGATTCCTTCTGTATTTTAATCTAAAAGTTGATATTGTAGATTAATTTAACTGATAAACTAAACTTCAAGTAGATAACAAGAAAATAGATAAAAATAAACGTGTCATTTAGATTTTAAAAAATGTCCGTGCGAACTCGTGCAAGAGATCTTGGTATTCCTTTTAAAGGCACTCCAGGTGTGAATAACTCCATAACCGATGTTCAAGGTGTTGAAGTTGGACATCGAACACTAATAGGAAATTCATCTACNGCATTCGACTGCAGATCGAGAGGTCCCTGGTTCAATCCCGGGTGCCCCCTTATCTTATTGCTTTTTCTTCTTTTTTCTCTTTCGTTCTTTTTTCGTATGATCTTTTATTGCAATACAATGAAAGAAATAAATGAATATTTAATGAATACATCAATACTGATGTATTCCTTTCATTATACTATCAATGGAAATCAGCAAGACCAAGAATCTGTCGTAGAAAAAAGACTGAATTCCAACACTTTCTGTGTGAATGTGAATAGTCTTTTCAGGTTGTGTTATATGACATTAGAACATCGAAATGATTGAATTAGTATGTGACACTTCTGTTGTCACATTAGACCTACGACGAGATACGAATAAAAGCAACGTAAGATTACGATTTATCAACAAGATTTTTCTATATTTTGAATTAAAAAACTCAAATGTAAGTATTATATTACAAAGGATTTGATCAGACAGACAAAAAAATGAAAAATATTTTCATTGATTCCTTCTCTCTCCAATACTTGGCATTGGACCTTCATTTTGCAAACAACTATTCTTAAATAAAGATGAATCCATCATGTGATATTCGGGTTCACTTGTTGATTCCCATTGACACAGGTTTGAATCAACAGATTGAATTTCATTATTTGCACCTTGTTTTACTATCCAAGCACCTTTACGTGCTAAACCTTGAGCAATCATACCGAATGTGGATTTCGATGTTGTGATTAAATATTTCATTTTGGATAAAATAAGTAATTCTGCTAATGTGTATTGCATCTTTTCAACCATATTCGTTGTGTGTGACATGTCGAATGGATTAAGAATTTCAATGGATGTATTTTGATAAATATTCGAAATTTGATTGATTAGATTTTGTCGACGTTGACGAGTATTCGATATGATATATAAATGAATTTTCACTTCGTTATTAAACCTAGGAAATAAACGAAACATTATTTGCGTCACGCATGGATTAGAAGTATTTTACTTTGTGAGATTTTCTATAACGTTTTCAATACATTTTTGGAAGGGTTCGATATGGTCAACTATGTGCGATGACCAACTGCGCATATGAACGCCAATTGTGATATTTCTGGTCGGAAAATTGTATTTCTTTTCGAATTCTTGAATAATTAAGTTGACTTTTGGTATTGGTTGTAAAACTCTTCTGACCAATTCATTGAAGATTTGTCCATTGTGGAAAAGGTTTTGAAAACTTTGTCTCAATCTTTCATTTCGTGTTAATATCGGAACAAAATATTGATCAGTTCGAATCCATTGCACATGATTAGTCAATAAATTGATCAAATAGAATCCAAATCGTTGAAACCATGAACGACTATCGACAATTTTATCATCACATAACATCATTTCGTCAAAGTAAAAAGCCCAATCTCGTGGTATTCGACTATTACTGTTGATTTGCCAATGAATTTCATTCATCCATCGATTCTTAACCAAACTCATCAATCGTGCTAATGAATATTGATGAACAAAGCTACTTTCATTTAATGATGATAATGATAAGAATAGATCTTCGAAATTTGCATCATGATTATCACCTGGTTTCCAGTTGATTAGAAGGACTCGATTTGTGACGAGAGCATAAGTGAGAGAAGATATCAACCCAAGAATACGATTACCTAAACCATTGACAGCATCAAACACAACATAATTTGCATGCGAAGATGAAGATTTAAGAATACAAGTTCGGTACAATAGGTAGGAATTCAATAATAATGATATGTTACACGTTTCGGTTGATAAAGCACATTTTTCGAAGGAATTACTCTCATAAAGATGCAAGCATGAAGATGAAATAAAAAATTGATCACGAAAAATATAAAGAAAATAGATAATTATCAATAAAACAAGAACAATATTGATCTTTTTCTGCTTGAATTTCGATAACTTCATAGACTAATTGTTAAACGACTTTACTTCCGGCGGACAAAATTATTCTCATGTTCATTTTAATACGAAAATCACAAGAGGTTTTCTTTGTCAATTGAGATGTAACATGGTGAGTTTCATATAAAACATCACAATGAAAATGATTGAAGAAAAAAACCTACAATCATATACAATAAAAATAGATTCAGATAAAAGTCAAGTAAAATGATGTCGCTATGTGAGGTAAAACCAAAAGAAACAAAACTTCTGTATTTTTAACTTCCTGTAGGATGCGCTCGATACGACTGATGAAATGTATCTAGAAAAGTGAGTATAGCCTTTTTATTTTTCTTTCAATAAACGACACAAAGAATGGGGATTAAAATGACTTTTTCAACTTTTTTATTATGTCTGTGTCGATGATCTTGTTTATCTTTTTGTACATGTAACCGATACACTTTTTCCGAGTAATTGTGGATCTCCAGGTAATGAAATCAAAACTCGTGTACCGTTTTCGAAATTCCAACTATTTGTACATTGGCTAGTCGCACTACTTGCTCGATTCACATTGACAGCAAATGTACCTGTTGCAACAGTTGGATGTGCTGCTGTAATTGTAAAACTATCGGCGTTCTCACTAAATAAAATAGCACCTGGCTGTTCCAAATAAATGCTAAGTGACATGCTACTACAATTATAATACGTGGTGCTGCCATTGAGGAAGTTTTTATCGAATAATAAAACTGAAGCACGTTGAAGAAATGGATCACAAGTACCGTGAAGATACAATGGTTCGCCTTGACTTTGTGTGACAGTCAATGCTTGTGCATGATTTCCTAGAACTAAGTAACGTTCCCAGTATCGAGTCATTTCCTCTACAGTAATATTGGGTGTAATCATATATTTGTAAGAGAATGGTTCGATTGTGGGACCTCGTCCATGAATGATGACAGCAGTCAGGATACGGCTAGTCATTTGAAAGTCCCATGGACCTATCTGATCAACATTACCAGTTTTATTACGACAATCAATCATCAATGTTTGGTATTCTTCTAAAACTGTCCAAGCTGTACCATCAGCGTGAAACCATAAAATACGCGGTTGATCGTATGAAAATGTGTAAATACCATCAGGTAATACCATTCTCGTACCATTACTCCATTGCACTGTTAGTGTTCCTGCTAAAGTATCAGCTGCAGGTAATAATCGGCTCACCAGAGCTGTTTGTAATAATGCAGTTGTATTATCTTGAATACCATTTGCTAATGCAACGATGTATGTATCATAGAAATGCCATGAACGTTTCGCCGTTAAATTACGTGTTGCAGTATCCATTAATGCTGCTCCATACATATCATCACTAACACCACCAACAAATGTTGTATTAAGCATCGGTACTTTACCTCGATCACAATGGACTAACGGTGTATCAGCTTCAACGGTAATACCATTGATAGCTTGCCAATCAAGTAAAGCGAATATGTTTTCATATTCTTCACCGCCACCATATTGAGCATCACGCGTATAGAGATTTAATGTTCCATCGCCTATATGTTCACCTTTTAAATTTTCGTAGTTATCACATTCTGTAGCTATTACACGAGCAGAATGCATTTTTAATGCTACTGTCCAATTGACTCGTCGATGTACTTGAAAATCACTTGTATAGAAATGACGATTACCAATTAAAGGTACAGTTCGATGGTCATGCTCAAGACGACCAGCATATTCACATAATGCAACTGCAGTCGTATTATCTGTCATATCCATCGCTAGTTCACGTAGTTGATCAGATGGAAACAAATGTGAGTACCAAGCGTGTACACCGCGATCGATAATACGTCCGATAAGAGACCACACCCATACACTACCCATCGTAAACCAGGCATCGCCTCTTGTTAAAAATCGACCGAAAACTTCCAGACGATCTTTCGACAGAGCATATTGTGTGCCACGTGTGGCCATGTGAAAATGGAGAATATTTGTTGCCCATGCATCACCGTATGCTGCTGGAAGTAATTGGGAACCATGAAAATGATACGACCAATCTGTTTGTATGCCCATTGTTGTAAGATTTTGTATTTGTACTGTATTCCACATCACTTCAAAAGCTTGTGACACCGCCGAATAATTTGACGTTGATAAACCGCAGTACAGCTGTATTTGTAATTCCCAAACTAAATTGGCACCACCTTCCCAATCTTTAATCCACCAATTGGCACGATATGACATCTTCACAATGGCATCAATTTCATATTTGGTCATTCGTTCCACACCTAACATCATCATAATGCCGGTAGCTATCAGTGGATCTTGAATATAATTCCACCACCAATTGGGATTTTGCCAATCTTGTTCAATCCATACTTTTAGAGCACAATGAATACCCAACGATAGTTTTGTATCATTGGAGAGTCCACCTGGAGCAGTATATGCTGCTGTCATTGTCGCAATACGAAACATATGTAGAACTGGATCCCAGTTTTCTGGGCCACGTGTTGTATAATTTAGATCAGGCCACTGACAAGTATCAAAGTTTAAGGTGCTAAGATTAGCTTTTGCTTGTACAAGAACATCAGATAGTTGTTCCGGAGAAGGCCAAAGCATTATTTTACGAACATTTTCTCGTACAGTACTCAAATCGTCGTTTACTGGTGCTGTTGTAGCAAAATTAACGAAATATATGATGAAGACTAAAAAGCTTTGAATCAATAAAGTGCTACACAGTTTAAACATAGCCATAACTCTTTACTATACTGCTGTAGAAACACTTCTCTATTCTACTTCTTTAGTTTAGCAGGTTCGGTATATATACCTGTGTTTGTTATCATTATGCACACCTGCCACTTACGATAAGATATTAGCCTTCGAGTTGATTCGTCGCTATTTTTACCGCAAGCCTCACCACTGGGTATAGTTAACACACCCAAACAGAAAACAACTAATGTTGCAGGTGTACATGAAGACGGTATTGTGGATCATAAAGAATATTTTTATTCTTTCCCGTGCCTTTCAAAGAGTTTCTGACCTCTTCCATTGAGTGGTGTTAAAAACTTCAATACAAATTAACCTGTATTATCTAACGAACTAAAAATCTTTATTAGAAAATTATTCTTCATTATAAACATGAAAGTTGATTATACAAATTTATTACGATTATCGTATTGATTCAAAATCTATTTTTATTTTTTGAGAACCTTTGAAACAGGTTGATTCGTTAACGCAGGTGCTAATTGTGAATACATTTTAATTGCTTGTTCATAATATTCAAATGATCGATTTACATCACCTTGAGCATCATAGATTCCACCAAGATTGTTTAAACACCTTGCCACCAATGGATGATTTGGGTTGGAAAGTGTCTTTCGATACATATCCAATGCTTTGTGCGTATACTTTAATGCGAGATTCAGATCGTTACTTTGTTTATAACGTTCACCTAAGCGAAGATATTCATTTCCAGATTGATGTTGATAGAGTGTGACATTTTCTTGGACGATTTTAAGTAATTGTTGACGATTGAGAAAAAGATCAAATATTTTAGGATAATGTTGGAGGAGATATTGACATCTTTGCTGTTCTCGTGGTGATTGACAATCTATAAAAACTGTATCAACTTGTGTTAACGAATGAGTACGTGAAAGTATATCAGTTGCAGAAGAACTATTCAGGATAAGAAAAATTGGTTTAGCTGATTGCTCGATAGTTTCGATACATTGCTTAGAGTTGTTAAAATAAACAAAATTATTTCCATCAATTTTCTCCTCGTTATTTTTGTTATACCAAATTAAAACGGGTGCTTCTTCTTTGACAACAGTTGATTTGGGTTGAGCCGTAGGAGTAGCTCCAGCCATTGGTTTTCTCTCATTCATTTTTTTTCGATTGACCAAAAACGTATAGGAGGTAGCTTATGTTATGCTATGAAAATAGTTGACAGTGACCATTTTTATTCAGGTGAAATAAACATTACTATAACAACTGAGTTTTTTTGCTTTTTATCCTCAATAACTAGTGACCCCTTTCTTTCGAAAAATTCTTTACCAACGAAATGACGCAGTGGACGGGCGAAGATGGAATACATTCGTCTGATGCTACGTTCACTAAACGGAGATAGAGAAAGAAGAATCATTTCCGCCGTTCTTAGTCATAGCCATATCTAGTCTATCCTGCTGATTGATTATGCCAAAGGAATTCCTTTGTTTATATTGGCTATTATCACAAGTTTCTCTAGGCTAGCAGCACGCAAGACGAATGTATATATATAGAAAGAGATTACGAATAGATTTTTATCTTCAGATTGCTTTTCTACCCGGCATCGATAATGACAACAAACGAAAAACATGAATTTCAACTGTTGTTCAAGCCAGCACAAATCAGTTTCGAATATAAACGCAACGTAGGTTTTGTTGTCAATCGTATCTTGATCCACCGTTTTCTGTTTAGTTATTAACCAATCTTATCAATGGGAAATGCGATACTTTAGACCGAATCGAATATTTATCATATCGAGTGACACTGGATTTTGGCGAACGTAAATGGGCGGGTAAAGGGAAACTACATGAAACTATGTACAAAGTTTGGGTTATTTTATAGATAGTCTCGTAGATATCGCAGAAATCGAAAAGTTGGGCAATTTGAACAATCGTCTTCGAATGATGAAAACGTGAGGAACTTGTCTTGACTGATAAAACTAATTTTATACCACAGATTTTCTTGACTTAATAGGGAGGCCATGGTACAAGTGAATCTTCAACAAACTAGAGAGGCTATTTCGAAAGCAATAGTCAATGGAGGTGATATTTGTTATGTTTCATGACATTACAAACTTTATCTATTTGTTTTAGTTGAAAAGAAGAGAAAAAAAAGATATGAACAACTACTGAAGTTTATCGACGAGACAAATATCATCGATCACTCAGGAGGTAATTTCCTAAACAATGATCATTCTTTTCATAAGAACATGATGCTTATCTAGAAGAGGAAAACATGCCACCGCTGAAAAGAACTAGAATTAGTTCAACGACAACCAATGGCAACGTCTGATCTCTCAGTGATCTTGATGGATATATACATGATTTTGTAATGACAAATCAAATCGTTGAAGTTGTTGCTCCTTGTACTCTACACAAGTCTTTACACATTTGTTAGAGAATTCAATTTTCCATTGAATAAAATTATTTGCTTTGGCGTTAATCCATTTAATCATGACAATCTTATACACATTTGAACATCATATCCTTCAGTGCTTTGTAATTAGGAGTTTTTCGTTGAATACTTCCAAGCAATGAATAATGTACAAACAGTATGTTTGAGAAATACCACCAGAAATGGATACATAAGATCAGCTGGAGCACGGATGGAAACGAATTTCGTCACCGAATACCCGACTCTTTGACTAAGTTAACCTGCATGTATAAGTTTTGCATCAACTTTGAGAAAAAGTTCTCATATTAATATTTCCAAGCTGAATAGCGAGTGTTAATTTTTCCGCTATTCATTTCGTCCACTTGGTATCAACTGTGATTGAGATTCTCATAGAGTAGACAAACTTTTACATAAGATTACTGTTCTAATTCGAATGAACAGGTATTTCTTCAGCAGTACTTATCAGAAAAACGAACAATCATTTATACACCAATACCAACGCTACATGGTGTATATTTCGCGACATAACTATTGTCCTTGAATAATGACCTCATTTTATTACTCATTACAATGATCATGTGGAAAAAAACGCACATTTGCACGTTGTCTTACTATTTATTATTTACTGCACTGATTGATACTATATAGATATTCAACCAGTGTTTATCAGTACGTTATTGAGGAGTAGAAAATAACGACGAAATGGTTCATGAAGATCGAGACATTAGCTATACATCTAACACACAATATGAGCGAAATCGACTGGATGTTTATTATTCAAATAATAGTGCACAACGCGATGTTCTCGTATTCTTTTTTGGTGGTGCATGGGAAAGCGGAAGAAAAGAGACTTACAGATATATTGGACGAAACTTCACTCGAAAAGGTCTAGTGACAGTGGTTGCTAATTATAGTTTAACGCCTACTTCAATTTTCACCATGGTTCAAGAATGTGCTGCAGCTGTTATGTGGGTATATCAAAATATATCTGCTTATGGAGGAAATCCTAATCGAATATTTCTAATGGGTCACTCAGCAGGTGGTCATATGATCGCGTTACTTAACTCTGATCCACGATATTTTCGTCCATATGGATTTGGAAATCCAATTTACGGAATTATTCTACTTGATGCATTTGGTCTTGATATGTACGAATATCTTAGTCAGCCGTCGTCAAGAAATGATCGATACTACAATACATTTATACAAGTGTTTTCACTGGATCCAAGAAATTGGAAACGAGCTTCGCCAATACGTTATATAAGACATATAAGAAATCCGCATTTGATTTTAGTTGGCGAAAGAACTTACCCATCAATTCAAATGCACAATCGACGTCTCTTCGGGGTTTTGAGAAATTCTCAACAAGCTCCTGTCGAATTCTATGAAATTCCACGACGCAATCATACGGCAATGGTTGCTTATATGTATTTTAGTAGAAATCAACAATATGATATTATTTTAAATTTTATGCAAAGATATTGAATTATATTTTTCGTATTAAATATACATGCAACTAGGAATGCTTATATCTTCATACAAAGACATCTTTCTATATGCATTTGTAGTATAATTAAGTAGACTTAATTCATTTCTTCTTCTTTCATGTTAAAGTCTAATAGAACATGGGAGGCGTTGAGATCAATGCACTATTTACTCGTTAGATAAATAGTAGTTTGCAAGTTTACTCTTGAACTTTTAAGTTTTTTGCATACCTCGTTTTTTTGAAATCTTAACTAGACATAAGAAAGTAACCAATCAACTCAAAAACACTATGTTATCAGTGGTGATTATTTAGTGATAAGAAAATGGGACACACATTTCAATAAAAGTAAAGCTCAGAACAGAGAAAATTAGTCTTGTCTGATTGTTGTATTAGGAAAATACAATTATGGTGAAATATAAATTAGATAATAATTCATTTAGTCTACAGATTTTGTTAATTCTATTCTGCATGTCATTTGTTGTGACTTTTGCTACAACAGCGCCTGTAAGTGATGATTTGAGTATTGTACGTGAAAATGTTCGTAAAATAATGCTTTGGCCTTCTCCAGAACAATTGCCTGACATTCTTGCACAAGCAAAAGCAAATCTTAGCACCTTAGATTTTGATACTTGTCAGTGGCCTGATCTAAATTATACAACACGCGGTCCAGAAAATTGGGATCCAGTTTTACATATGTTTCGTATTGCGACGATGACAGCAGCATATACGGTTCCGGGTGGATTCTCCAATGACACGAAATTATCGTTGGGCATTCATTGTGCTCTAAAAGTATGGATTGAACAAGATTGGCAAAATCCTAATTGGTGGTGGAATTATATTCAAGATCCATTAATAGCTACTGGTATTATGATGATGTTAGGTGTAGAACGAATGACGACATATGAAATTGATGCCATTGTGAAGATGTCCTATCGTGCCAATTGGTGGATTAAAGATTGGGAAGGTGGTGCCAATTTAGTATGGGAATTACAAATACAGTTATATCGTGGTTTAGCGACATCAAATTATTCGGCGGTGTCACAAGCTTTTGAACTAATGTGGAATACAGTACAAATACAAAATCTTACAACAATGGGCATACAAACAGATTGGTCGTATCATTTTCATGGTTCTCAATTACTTCCAGCAGCATATGGTGATGCATGGGCAACAAATATTCTCCATTTTCACATGGCCACACGTGGCACACAATATGCTCTATCGAAAGATCGTTTGGAAGTTTTCGGTCGATTTTTAACACGAGGTGATGCCTGGTTTACTATGGGTAGTGTATGGGTGTGGTCTCTTATCGGACGTATTATCGATCGTGGTGTACACGCTTGGTACTCACATTTGTTTCCATCTGATCAATTACGTGAACTAGCAATGGATATGACAGATAATACGTCTGCAATTGCATTATGTGAATATGCTGGTCGTCTTGAGCATAACCATCGAACTGTACCTTTAGTTGGTAATCGTCATTTCTATACAAGTGATTTTCAAGTACATCGACGAGTCAATTGGACAGTAGCATTAAAAATGCATTCTGCTCGTGTAATAGCTACAGAATGTGATAACTACGAAAATTTNAGAACATGATGCTTATCTAGAAGAGGAAAACATGCCACCGCTGAAAAGAACTAGAATTAGTTCAACGACAACCAATGGCAACGTCTGATCTCTCAGTGATCTTGATGGATATATACATGATTTTGTAATGACAAATCAAATCGTTGAAGTTGTTGCTCCTTGTACTCTACACAAGTCTTTACACATTTGTTAGAGAATTCAATTTTCCATTGAATAAAATTGTTTTCTTTCGTGTTAATCAATTTAACCATGATCATTTTATACACATTTGAATACTATATCCTATAGAGTTTTGTAATAAGCAGTTTTTCGTTGAATGCTTCCAAGCAATGAATGATATACAAACAGTATGTCGGAAGAATGACACTTGAAATGCATAGATAAGATCAGTTGGAGCACGGATGAAAACGAATTTTGTTACCGAATACCCGACTCTTTGGCTGAGTTAACCTGTGTGTATAAGTATTGCATCAACTTTGAGAAAAAGTTCTCATATTAATATTCCCAAGCTTAATAGCGAATGTTGATTTTTCCGCTATTCATTTCGTCCACTTGATATCAGCTGTGATTGAGATTATCATAGAGTAGACAAACTTTTATATAAGATTACTGTTCTAATTCGAATGAACAGGTGTTTGTTCAGCAGTACTTATCAGAAAAACGAACAATCATTTGTTTACCAATACCAACGGTACATGGTGTCTATTTCGTGATATACCGATTGTCCTCAAATAATGACATCATTTTATTACTCATTACAATGATCATGTGAAAAAAAACGCACATTGTTTTCCTATTTATTATTTACTGCAGTGATTAATACCATATAACTAGATATTTAACCAGTGTTTATCAGTACGTTATTGAGGAGTAAAAAATAACGACGAAATGGTTTATGAAGATCGAGACATTTGCTATACATCTAACACACTATATGAGCGAAATCGACTGGATGTTTATTATCCAAAGAATGGTTCACAACACGATGTTCTCGTATTCTTTTTTGGTGGCGCATGGCAAACTGGAAAAAAAGAGACTTACAGCCATCTTGGACGGAACTTCACTCGAAAAGGTCTAGTGACAGTGATTGCTAATTATAGTTTAACGCCTGCTTCAATTTTCACAATGGTTCAAGAGTGTGCTGCAGCTGTTATGTGGGTATATCAGAATATATCTAATTATAGAGGAAATCCTAAGCGAATATTTCTAATGGGCCACTCAGCAGGTGGTCATATGATCGCGTTACTTAACTCTGATCCGCGATATTTTCGTCCATATGGAATTGAAAATCCAATTTCCGGAATTATTCTACTTGATGCATTCGGTCTTGATATGTACGAATATCTTGATCAACCGTGGCCAGAAAAAGATACTAAGGACAATACATTTATACAAGTGTTTTCATCTGATCCAGGAAATTGGAAACAAGCTTCGCCAATGAGTCATACAAAAAATATAAAGAATCCGCATTTGATTTTAGTTGGCGAAAAAACTTTCCCATCAATTCAAATACACAGTCGACGTTTCTTCGAGGTTTTGAAAAAATCTCAACAAGCTCCTGTCGAATTCCATGAAATTCCACGACGCGGTCATATGGCAATGATTGCTTATATGTATTTTAGAACAAATCAACAATATGATATTATTTTAGATTTTATGCAAAGACATTGAATTATATTTTTCGTATTAAATATACATGCAACTAGGAATGCTTCTATTTTCATACAAAGACATCGTTCTATATGCATTTGTTGTATAGTGAAGAGGACTTAATTCATTTCTTCTTCTTTCATGTTAAAGTCTCTCAGAAGGAGCTCAGTTTCGGAAAGTCGGATATATGCTAGTAACAGGCGCTTAAATCAAGCGAATTCTCTGGACTGAATTGATCATTTCGAAAACAAATGACTCACTTCATTTATTTCGTTTCGATTGCGTGATCATATTTTAGACGTAGAAAAGCAATAAGTTTATGAAGTATAATTTCATTATGCTGTTTCGACATAGTATGAATGAATCACATCCATGTGACACGTAATTCAGGTGAAAGCGGAAAGTAGTCAACAGATGACTAAATCACTGAAAGATTTGTTTTTGTCCACGTACCGCTGTCGATGTGTCTACTACAACGTGGCAATGTTAAAAAGCTCGTTAAATACCAATGGTTAATGAATATTTTAATGAAAAAACTCTCTAATCAATTCACAATATGGGTATTTTTCTCAGTCGAATGTACGAAGCTTTGTCTTCGTTTACTAGTGAAGAACCAGCACGACTTTTAATGCTTGGTCTTGATGCTGCTGGTAAAACAACAATTTTGTACAAACTTAAACTTGACGAAAATCTTCAAACAATTCCAACCCTTGGTAAATTTTCTGTCACCAATGATAAAGTCATNAGCAGAGATAAATCACTTTGATTAATTTCAACTAAAATTTTTATTGTATTGTCGTCAGTATGAAGTATAGCGACATAAAGTCTTCCGACATGTGGTGCTTTCATGTCAATGATTTGATCGAGATTTCCTGATATTTCTTCTTGCTTTAATTTTTGTTGATAATGAAATTCATAAATGGTTGATATCGATCCTTTCAATGGACGTAATTCATCTTCAAATTTCAATGTATAATGGTTAACTGGTGGATATGATCGCACTGATAAAATCGGAGTTACATGTGTTAATCGACCAACGAATGCTACTTCAGCTGTAGATAATTTATTTATCGCTTCTTCAGAGCCAATTAGAATAACCATTATAAGTAAATCAAATCAAATAATCGATGAAGAATATTCCAAGGTAATGATATTTTGCTGTATTGAATAACCACGTGGAAAATATATACAAACGATTTACGTGTAATAAGAGACGATTACTATCCTTGATCTATACAATTAGAAAGCAATGTTATTGAGGTATTTCATCATTCAATGACAAAATATATCCAAATTTGCGTGAATTGCCATATAGAATCTTTCATTGTTGGATATATATATTAAGAAAAGATGTTATATTCCAAATTATTTATTTAATAATACCATACGAAAGATTCATTTAAAAAAAAATCATCAATATTGACATTCCGCTGTTTCGAAATTATTCAAACGATGCGATACGAACAAAAGAAACGTAACGAGAACGGTATTTGAATAACAAATCTAAAGCTTTTTTCCTGTGAAAATGAAGTCTTTGATGATCTCTGTTCCCTCGTTAATGCTGAAGGTTCGAAATCGAAGAAAAAAAAAGAATTCTTTATTGACAGAAGAAATATCAATGAGCTTCACAGGAAAAAAAAGTAATATAAACGAATGAAAAAAGGAAAGTGGCTGAATTTTAATGTGACCAACGAAGCCAAGGTTATCAGTCGTGAATAACGACACATACGAAGATCAACATTGAAATCGAAAAAAAACTGAAGTAAAAGTGGTGTTGAAAACAATCAAATTTCTCTCATTCTTATTCATATTGATTATGACATAGGATGATGAAAACAATACACATTTCGGTTTTCATTGGTGAGAAATACATTTCTGTATTATTGGTCGAACATTTCTTTCGATATTTTTCTAGTTATTTATTTGATTAGAATTGCTTTTAATCAGTTAATTATTCAACCGAACGAACCAATTATTTTACGTGATCAATATAAACCATTTATCGCTTTGTGCAGTGGACAGGAGAATATTCGAGTTGGTTCGTATAATTTCATCTTCATTACTAACAATTTTCTTGATGTGTACCTTAGTTTCTTGGGAATCTCCATCGTTAATTCATATTAAAGAGAACGGTAGTGCAAGGTAATGTGATAACTCAACAGATTTGATGATAATGCCATTCATTTAGACTAACAGTTGAACGGAAAAGTTATGGATTACGTTTGCGTATACGAAATTTAACGCAGAGTGAACAAGGCATTTGGAAATGTTTAGGTTCTGATCAAAACGGAAAATCAATTTCGAATACTTTACAGATTAATGTTAAAGGTTGTTTATTTCACTTCTAATGAAAATAATCATTTTCTTTGTTTAATTAGTACCAATTACATTTGTTAGTGAACCAATTCAATATGCTGAATTAAATTCAAATGTGTTAATTCGATGTCGAGTTATTGCAAATCCACAAGCAGAAATCTCTTGGTTCAAAGGACGAGAAAAAGTCAATCTTCTTTCGTCAAACTATGAACAACAGACTGATGGATTGAAAATTCATCGAGTATCATCAGTTGACAATGACACATTTTGGTGTCAAGCAGATGTGACTGAAACAGGTGAATCAAAAGAATATTCAATTCAAGTGATTCTCGCAAGTGAGTGTGTTCATCATTGTCAGGTATCGGATTTGATTTGAATGTTTTAGAAACGATCTCCTCGACAAGAATTACGTGTGTCTCACCTTGTGCTGTGGAGAAACGAACAGCTACATTGATTTGTGAAGCAAATGGAATGCCACCACCAAGATATACGTGGTATTATGGAGAGGTTTGACGATGAAATCGAAAGAATTTATGTGAAACTTGGATCAATTGATTTTTAGTTTAACACATTTCATTCGAATGGAATATCAAAATTCGTTGTTCGTGAAAATCGACTAATTATTAATTATGTTGATGAAACCGATAATGGTCGATATTCATGTCATGCATTTAATGATTATGATAAACAAGGACAGAGAATCGATTATAATCTCAATGTTATTAGTAAATTTGCACGAATTTGTTTTGAATACTTCTCTTGAATAAACTTTTTTAGTTCCACTTCAATTATCGCAAATTCTTCCCATCGAAATTAGTATTGATGATCAATTTCCAACACAACGTGTTGCATTTTCTTGTCGAGTTCTACGTGGTTCATCTACAAATCTTTCTCTAGAATGGTTTTATCCAAACAATACTCTTGTTCAAGTAAAACAAACATTAAAATTAAGATTCTACTTAGAATTATTCGTGATTTAGTCGACTGATGGTATATCAATCGATATTTCTCAGATGATGACACATCATCTAATTGAACTAATTTTCAATTCAGTACGTCGTGAACATCATGGAAATTATACTTGTGTTGGGAAGAACTTGGGTGATCGAACGTCAACTATCGCGCAATTTCTTGTCAAATGTAATAGTTCGTCCATGCTATATCTCTTCTTCTCCTCACGATTTCATCTTTGAAGATAAACCAGTTTTCATAAGTCCAGATATTACTCATGTGTACAGTGCACCAGGCCATCAAGGTAAAGATTTTTTTCCTAGTTTGATGATGAAACCCTTTGTGCTTTAGTTACAATGAAATGTCGGTTCGATAGTTATCCTCCACCGATTATGCGATGGATAAAACTGAGTGCAAATCATGAAGAAAATCAAACGTTGTTAGAAGAGATCAACCTACAAATGATCGAGATTACTACAAAACAAATTGATTCAACTATTCATCAAACAGAATTGACGGTAAACTCCATTTTTCCCTTCAAATCTTCTCTGAATAACTTCGTTTTAGTACGAACCAACTGAAGAAGATTTTGGTCTCAAATTCCAATGCCAAGCCGATAATTCTCGAATGGAAAAACATACATTCACACTTCAACGTGCTGAACTTCCCCATCCAGCTCGTATTATCGAAGTTGAACCACATTCAACTACCATCAACTTAACTGTTCAACCGCCTCTCAAATCCGGTGGTCTTCCTTTACTTCAATATATCGTTAAATACGAACAAATAGACAATCCTGATTCTCGTCAGATGATTTCTTTTCCAGTTTTATCCAACGACACTCAAATGATTGAATTAAAATCTTTACAAGTTGCACATTTTTATCGAATTCAAATCGCAGTCAAATCACATGCCGGACAAAGTACATTTTCAGTACCTGTTCAAGCGAAAACATTGCGTGGTGATGTTCCACAATTCCATTTAACGAATATTTCATGTCTGAACAATCAATCATATCTAATCCAATGGATAATCGACAATGATGGTGGATCAGCCATTTCACAAATTGAAATCACTTATGCCAAAGTATGAAGATTCGTTGATATTCGCAGATTTTCACAGATCTTTTTCTGAATTAAGGTTCACAAAAATAATAAAACAGAAAAATGGAGTAAACCCATTCTTCTTCAACCATTGATCAATGAGTATGAATTGAAAGATCTTCGACCCAAGAGAATTTATATGATTTCTGTTCGTTTATTAAATACAGCTGGATTTAGTGAAAGACAAACTCAAAAAACTATTGGTAAAGAATTTTTAATTCGAATAAACGATTCATTTTTTTGTTTGATATCATCTTAGCTTGTCAAATGTATATTCCTCAATCAGCAAGAGTGCCAGTTATTATGGGAATAATAGCTCTAATTCTATTTGGTACAAGCCTTGTTTTTCTTCTCTTAGTTTTAATTCGAGTTTTATGGGATTGTAAAAGGCATTAGAATCGCTTTTGTATCGAAATTTATGGTGACAATGTACAAGAGAAGAATTTTCTTTACAGATAAAATGGTAATAGATTAACGCGATAATCTCGAAAGAATTTTCATAATGATTTTTTATAAACTCTTTTTCATTTATTTACAAAATAAAATTCGACGATATTCCTTTACTCGACTTCGAACAGTTTGTGCGATTGACACGAAATGTTATTACCATTGGTGGACTTTTTTTAGATCAGGTTCGGCTTATACGAATGACTACGACGTTTATTCGTTTTAGTTGAAAAGAAAATGGAATCAGTACGCAACAAAAAACGTTATGAGGGAGGTAAAGCACAAAAAAAATGAGGGGCTTTGGTTGAAGAAAAAAGAAAGAGAGATAAGTCTACATTAGAGACAGACCGAAATGCTTCTTGTTCTTAGCTTATTTTTTCCATGTACCTAAAAGAGAAAAACAAACATTCAACTAAGGAAGAAGAGTCTACACGTTTGAACAAACCGGTTTCATAATCCCATTTCGATGATAAACCGCTCATGGGGCCTTGACGAGCAGCAATATGAAACTGCATTTGTTGTTTCAATTTCTCATCGCTCATACTACTAGGTTTATCGAAATTGTAAGCTAAAATGATTTCAATGAAGAAAAGAACAATCAGTATGAGAGAAGCGCTGTCGACAATGCGTACCTATACGTCGCCAACCATCATACGCAAGGGTCAAAGCTGAAAGAGCAATTAAACCCCAGCCAAGTGTCCATTTCCAAAGACCACTAGACGCCGTAAATTCTTCAAATGTTTGGCGAAAACTTGCTCGATATACTAAAAGAAAATTTCCATGGAAAAATCGATTTATTGACGCAGATTAAAGAGCTTACATCGCTTCTTTTCGTCTACTGACAATTGTTTCCAGTCACCTTGTTCTTTCTTTCTCAAAACAGCAGTTTCTGGTGTGTCTGCTTCCCAGCGAATGCTTGGACAAGGAAACATGACCAAATCAAAATATTCTGGCTTTCCTTTCAAACCATAACCGACGATTTGACGATTTCCAATACGTGGATACATTCGCATACGATCAGCATCTAACGGTGGTGGTGCTTTTCGATTGTCCAATACGACTGGACTGCTTTGGACCACGCTGCTGACTGTTGATGCATTGGCGCGGCTTTGATGTTGTAGCATTGAAACTACTGGCGTTTGAGACAATTTTACATTACGAATGAGAAAGTTGCTCATTCTCGCTTGATTAAATAAGTGAACTCGATGAAAGTATCTGAAAAAAATTCCAATAATCAAGACAATGTTTCAAATGTACCGAACGTTGTTTATTTCACGACGACATGATAATAATAATCGTAGAGGGAAAATAAACAAGAACGACATTAGCGACCTCACTACGATCTGTGATTGAATAATACAAATAAACCAATGAAATCAATTCTTGAAGCCTTCGTCTTCTTTTTCTCATTTATTAATTGCTAACAGCATTGATTAATGTTCAAGATAAAATTCATCATTGACCGAAGTATAACAATTTCCTATTGAGCAATAGCAAACAAACAATTAAACGCGTTTTTCTGCTGATGAATAAGTCATACGTACTCTATATCAATATGTGAAATTGAATGTTTAAAAGGACATTTAAACATTTGTTTTTCTTTCAGATCTTGTCAAATGAGAAACTCTTTGTTCGTTTGTGTACTCATCTTTAGCCAATTGGGCTACATATCGACAACACTTGTCGATGGAATTGTTACTTTGTCTTGGTCACCGTCCGAACCGACACCCATTATCGATCGTTTTCTTGTGAATAACACCCAAATACAATTGAAAATTCTTTGTCGAGAATCAACAACCAATGTTAGCACAACGCGCGATCAAATCAAAAAGAAAGTCTATAAATTAGACAAAACTGTCAAAGATACAACAATCAAAATTCGCGGACGGATCGGTTATGTTGTTGGATGTTTACCGTTGCAATCGGATACGTTAATAAGTGCAACACAGGAAGATAAAACTTCACAAAAGTCTATTTTTCAAGGCTATTATGACGAAATCTGGAAAGAAATGGAACAAAGAACATTTGTTGCTTCTCAAACCGATTGTGATTATTCGGGAACACATTTATTCATTGAGCAATATTCCGAGGTCAAACCACCAGAAATTTCTCAGAAAGAAGCAATCAAATTACGAGAAAAACAAATGCAAACAAACAATAAAGAAAAAGTTCGACGAGAAACTCAAGCTCAGATTTCTTCTAACACGACTCGTTTAAATACAGGAACGTTATTAACATGGGCAGATGGATATTATCTCATCGAAATTCATGCGCCGGACATTTTCGGAGGAAATGGCTTAGCATTGGACGTTGATATTGAAGTATCGATGAAAAACCCGTCGGGAAATTATATCACAGCTGATGAACACCCAGCTTTGGTTTTCTATGGAGTCATGTGCGTCATCTATGCATTATTTGCTATTTTATGGTTTATTTGGTGTGCATTTTATTGGAAAGAATTACTTAAAATACAATTTTGGGTTGGTGGAGTTATTCTCATTGGAATGATCGAAAAATCTGCATTTTTAGCGGAATATGATACATTAAATCGAAATGGGTAAGAATCATTTTCAAAAGAATACATTGGAAAACAAAACCCGATTCTTTTTAGATATAAAGTTCATTATGCCATTGTTACAGCTGAAATTCTTTCATGTTTAAAACGTAGTGTCTCACGTATGTTAGTCGTGATTGTTGCACTTGGTTATGGAATAGTTAAACCTCGTCTTGGACCACTGAAACAAAAAGTAATCGCCATGGGAGTTTTATTTTTTACAATTGCGTCTATCGAAGCTCTTCTACGAATCAACATAAAGCACGATGAAGTTAATAATAAAGTTTTAATTTCACGTGTTATATTAGCTGTTGTTGATGCAATTATTTATTATTGGATATTTACGGGTTTAGTGGCAACAACACGAGCATTGCGTTTGAGAAAAAATTTAGTTAAACTGAATGTTTATCGACATTTCACCAACTCGATTTTGTTCGCCATTTTAGCCAGTGTGTTATTTATGATTTGGTCGTTGAAATCACACTTTTTCACAACATGTATTACCAATTGGAGAGAATTTTGGGTAAGAGAAAGCATTGTTTAACTGAATGGAAAGATTGAAGATGTTGCAATGTAGGTTGATGACGCATTTTGGCACATTTTATTTTCAATCATTCTGCTTGTGATTATGTTTTTATTCCGCCCATCAAATAATAATCAACGTTATGCATTTGTTCCATTACTTGATCAATCAGATAATGACGACGATGAGTTCGCTGATGGAGATGACGAACGAAGGGGTGAGAAAGATCATTTGTTTGTCTCTCTTTCTCAAGAGGAATTTAACGATTTATTAAGTAGACTTGATTAATCGACAAAAAGAAACGATTCCGATTGCAATTTGATCTAATGTATACCTTCGAGTGACAGAATATCTCATTAGATTGTACTTCTGTAAAGGAAAAATCGAAATATTTCTCCAAGGTATTAATATAGACTATGATAGAACCGTCTTTACAAAGGTCAATTGGATCGATTTTCTCTCTTGATGATTTTTTGTCGATCATTGTAAATGTGTATTTTTTGCCCATTCTTGATGGAAGTGCGTCAATTCATTGATTTTATTTTATTTTTCAGAACCCACAGTACTCGATTCGATTACAATGCGAAAGGCATCCAACATAGAGAATGGTGGATCGACAAAAGCTAAAAAACAACAACAAGCTTATCTCAATCGTGAAGCGAATGTTGCCGGAACAGGTGTAGGTAATACAGTTGAAGACGCTCTATCATGGGTTGAAGGCAACATTCCAACTTCAATCGCCGATCAAGCATTACAAGCTCTAGATAGTGAAGATGAAGTAATGAACACAAAATTAGAGAGATCGAAAATGCAGTAATGAAATTTTCATTAAAAAAGATTCGATTACCTTTTGATTTTCCCTTTCGCATTCTTTGTTTTGTTTCTCATATTCAAGTATTTATTTGTTCGTATGTAATGTTATTCTATTCAAATATTTTCTTTCTTTCTGTCATCATTCTTGTTTGTTTTTGTTTGTAACATGAGCTTAATCAGCAAGTGGTTGTTCTTCAATTGACAAAAAATTTCTTTGCAATCGTTTCAGGAAGATGAAGATCTTTGAAAAATATTTTCTTTTTCTTGTGATATTTCAGATATTTTTTGTACATAGTTCTTCTCAACATTTTCATAGACAGAAAATCTCGCTCGATGTTCATCTCGAATTAAAACAAGAACAGAAATAAATGGCTGCAACAGTAACATTGTCAAGTAAATCTTCAATTGACAAACCGCCGAAACATTCATCTCCAATAATTAATGAAAAAGAAATTTATTCTCCTGATTCATCGTCAACAACTTTATCACCGGAATCGACACATTCGATTTCATCACCTGATAAATCTTTTGTTGTTCATGAACAACCACAATCCATTCGTCTTGTTGATTATTTTGTTGTTTGTGGTATAAACAAATATGTTGATGTTGAACCTTCGATTGATTTAACTCGTAAAGACATTCTTTTTTCGAAATCTCTATTTTTCTTTCGTGATTTCTAGTCGGTGATCAAGTAATCAATCCATTTCAATGTTCATATCGTTGTCGTGTTCTGTGTCATTATCCGAATGAACTGCCAAATAATCAATTCGATGAAGATGCAATCAGTCGTTTGTCAATGCCGGACGGTGTTTCTATTCAACAGAACTCACCCGATCCACCAACGACGCATCCATTTCTCATCACGCGACTGGACGGAACACGTTACTACGGTGTGGCATTGACATTTTTCGAACAATTAACTCATGATGATGGAACATATCCAGATAATTCATCTTCAACAGCAGTCAGTTCATTGAATCGTTTAATTGAAGCGTATTCTCGACAGCCACGTCGTTCGTCAACCGTCCTTTATGCAAGTAAAGCGATATGTTTGATTGG